GCGGCGCTACTTTCCATTAGCCACATAACTTGTTTCTGTCTAACTTATACATACACGTTTGAATGATGGAATAGATGACCAGTTCTAATATTTACAGTTAAGAACACATCACCTCTTATTTTTAAGTTTGGCAGTATGCTGGATAGCTTTAGTGTCAACTTGACACACCTGGGTTGAAGGAGCCGCAATGGGAAATTGCCTCTATTGGACTGGCCTGTGGCCATGTCTGAAGGGCATCTTCTTGATGAATGATGTGGGAGGGCCCAGCCCACTGTGGGGCCACCCCTGGGCAGGTGGGCCTGTGTTGCATAAGAAAGCAGGCTGAGCAGGGACCAGGGGAGCAAGCGTGTAAGCAGCGTTCCTCCATGGCCTGTGCTCCAGCTCCTGCCTCCAGGTTCCTGCCCTGAGTTCCTACCTTGGGCTCCCTGATGAACTGCGTGTGACCTGGGAGATGTAAGACAAATAAACCCTTTCCTCCCCAAGTTGGTACTGGTCAGAGTGTTTTGTCACAGCAATGAAGAAACAAACCAGGACAGGCGGCTAGCCTTACAGTCTCCAGAATTAGTAGCTAAAACTCATGAGAGTTTCAAGCTGAGAGTGTTTTGAGCTCTTAGTTTTTTCTTGGCATAATCATTTTATGATTGCTTTCAAGGAAGGGTTTGAAGTGATGGGGAAATAAGGGGTGAAAGTCTGAAAGACCCTAGTTTTCTTCCTCAAGGACTTTGTCCAATTCTCTTTGCAAATAAATAAATATCTATCTTTTGGAAATATGTGTATTTGTATATTCTTTGAATGATTTGGGGCGATGCCTGGTTAATAAGGGTTGAGTTTTTTGATTGGATGTAGTTTGTATGTATCTTGGTATAAGGAAATGGGTGTACCAGGAGTTTTCATTTGATTTTTCAAAACTTCATACAGAGGCTGGAGAGATGCTCAGTCAGTGAGCCACATTCCTCACAGTGTGAGAACCTGAATTTGATCCCCAGAACTATGTAAAAAGGTGGGCACCTGGAATCCTAGTGGATCCCTGGAAGCTTGGTGGCCAGTTAGCCTAGCCTACTTGGCAAAATTGCTGACCAAAAGAGACTCCATTTCAAACAGAAAGCTGATGGTGTGTTAGGAATAGCACCTGAGGTTGTCCTCTGACCACTGCACAGTCAGTCACATGCATGACAGACACATAGCCTTATGCATTAAGTAATTGTTTTCAGTGAAAATTAAAATATAAAAATATTGTAGTCTTTAAGCCTTCACCTGAAATAAAGTTTCTAATAGGTACAGTCCTGTTCATGGGGGCAGATGATAGAGCACATATATGATGAGCTGTTTCAACAAATGGACTCAGAGTCTCATGGCTTTACAAGAGGAATCTGTGTTTCTCCTTCTCTGGCTGAGAGTTGACATGGTGAGTTCAGCTGAGCTTGCACCCAGGTTTTAGGATGGGCTTTGGATGTGCTGCAGGTGTCCAATTCTAGGCTCCCCAGGGAATGCCCATCTCATGTTGATGGAATGTAAAGATATCAATCTCTGGGGCTTTGCTTAGCATTATGCACTGTCACGTTGCCCACACTCAGTTGGCTAGAACAAGTCACATGGCCAAAGCCAACCCCCATGGGGCAGGGGAAATATGAAACATTGACTCTCATAAAAGGAGTTACTGGGGCAGGAGTGCAGATTCGCAGCCCAAATTGACAAAGCAGAAAAGAGCAAAGAATTTGGGCAGCATCTCATGTTCCAGAGAAGACACATTGTATTCTGGGGAAGACGGACTGTGAACACTGCCTCTGTTGTAAATAGAATATTACCTTTTCTTTCTGTCTGCTTCCACTGTTTTGATAATTGGCAGCAGCCCCCATGCTGATGTTGTAGATTAGCCTCAGGAAGTGCAGCTCACCCTGTGAATGGTTGGGAACGCACAGACTGTCAAAGGTAAGCCCCCTGATCCTTTGTGTGTCTGTGCTGGACGTCCCATTAACTGTGATCACCTGTGGAATTAGCTTGTTCGTGCACATGTGGCCAATCAAGATGTTGAATAGTCTTTGAGAAACAAAATAACTAATAAATATTTAATAAGATTAGACTCATAATGTATGCCTTAAAAGGAAAGAAATTTGATTAAATTGATAAGACTGAGCACTTCAGAAAATGTTCAATGATGATTTAACACTCTGATAATCTGTTTTATCAGAAATCAAGTGGCCATTGACTGTTTTGACACATTTACCTAGTTTTAAGTTAACTGTTTTCTCTCTTTTGATTACTCATCTAAAGAGAATGTGAAAATTCCCTATTTTAATAAATATAGACATGGACATTACAAAGCATTTGTATTTATATTATTAAAACTCTTCATTTAAAAATCACTTTACAGATTTGTGATGGCTTTTTGGTGATTTTGTCCTCTGTCCTTAGTCTGTCAAACTTCTGAGAATAACAATTTTATATAACCGATATCTTCTCTATGTCAGTGTTATGTTGCGTATAGCCTGCCTTTTCTGTCCTAATCATCCTTGTCAAAATTACCATGGTTTTATCTTGCATGTTTTCTTCATAGGGATATTGTCTGGTTAGATATTAGGCATTAGAAATTGATTCTTTAAAATGAAAATCATCTCCAGAATTCAGTTAACTTTTATTGTTTCTGTTTGAGTTTTCTATTGTCTACCCTCTGTATAGACAATACAAAGTCTGAGTTGGATTGTATCTTTCACCTCATTGATGTTGGTGTTGGCTAGACACAGCAGGTATGTGAGCATGTTTGCAAGTGTGTAAGCATGTATATACATGCACACGTTTCATCTGGGGACGCCAAACCCTCATTATGTGAATTTACCGCTCTTTCGTATTTAAATAATAAAACTTAGTCTCACCAGACGATATGCCTCTGATGATATGGATATCTTACCGTGAGTATTGTACAATGTGTTTTGTGGTGTTCGTACATATATTGTTTTATTAATCCATGCAAACTTCATCTAAAGCCTGCATTTACTCCTTACCAATATGAAAAGTATAGGGATGAAGTGAGGGACTTAGTAGTTCTAACTTCTGGACATGAGATAGCATTGTGAAACACGTCATAAATCTAAAAGGTTTATTTCCTCTTCTCTCATCAGCATGGACAGGAATATTTGAAAGGAGGAATGAGGCATGCCCATGGAAGCTGAAGTTCTTCTGTTAAAGTGTACCCAGCACCAGCTTCCTCTCGGGCTGCATGAGTGGAAATGCTTTGAAGTTCTTTTAGGCATTCGATTTTTTCCTACCCCTTCAGAGCAGGAGTCAGAACACTCCACAACACATGACTCCCTACATCCAAGCCCAGATGACCAATTGGCTAGAGACAGCAGGCAGTCAGGGGTTCAACTGAATAGGCCCTTCCCTCAAGGCACCTTGTCCACATAAAGGAAGAGCCCATGTTCTAACTTTTCGGACACTCTACATTGCAAAGGTGACCGTGAGCTGTGATGTCTTGAACCCTCATTTTTCTCAGTGGCTGAAAGTGCTTTTTGGACAGCTTTCTAGTGGGCAACTGTAGTAACACTGTGACCTGTGTTACTTCACTTGGAAATGTGATTGAAGATCAACAAACCCCACAGAACAAGCAAACAAAAGCAAAACCTTAGCTGCTCTCAACTTCCCTTTCTTTAAAAATGCTACTGTTTTGTAAAGGAGAAGCATGCTGTCCCCCAGTCCCTTTGTGTGCTGCATTCTTCTCATCTCAAGTTACTCGTAAGTCAGGTTTTCAGCATGGCAGAGGCCATTGGCTGCCTTTGGATCACCTCCACAGAGCCTTTCTTTCAAAGGTCATGTGTAATATACACCTTATCACATATCCACCAGTGATCCCTTCTGAAAAAGTACTCTTAAGCCTAAACCTTTAGCATCCACCTGGCTGCTTAATGTTTTGCCAAGATTGCTTATCAGGAATTACAGGAGGACTAGGAATTTGAGTGCCTTGTGAGACTTGTCTTGGTTTGATTTAATCTAATATTTTCCAAACTGTGTTCTAGTAGAACACTGATGTCTTCTAACATACCTGCTTAGCAGATGTTCCTTTAAATGGATCATGTGGCCAAATAAAGTTTTCTTTGGGGGGGATCCTATTTCCTAGAGTTAGGATTTTGGTTTTTTTTAAACTAAAGGACATCTTGAGTTCTTAGTATGCTGACCTAAACTGTAGCTCAACAAGGGATAGAGCATGCAGCTATTCTGACTATGACATCCTTTTCTTGTAGAACACATGTTGCCATCTCCAGGATGCCAGGCAGAGACCGTGTGAAATAGTCACTAAGAACATAGTCTCTAGCATTTAACTACCTGGGTTCAAACCCTGGCTGTATCTTTCATTTAGTTGTTATGATCTTGAGCAACTTGCATATTTTCTTTGTGCTTCAGTTTTCCTATCAAAAATGGGAACACTAATGTTACCATACTTATAGCTTATGAAATATTTGAAGAACAGGACTAAGGACAGTGCTTGGCCCCACTGTCATCCTGACATAGGTACAGTAAGAATGAGCTAGCTTAATACTCTAGAGATGACAAAGATCACCCCCAAGCAGGCTAGTCATGCAGCATTCCCCCCAGTACAAACTGATGCATGCCCAAAATCACCATGAATTCCCCTAGAAACCAGGCTGAAACAAAGTACAGGTCCTGTCCCAGAAGAACAGGTGCATTAGTGATTTGGCTCAGTTGACATCTTGGAGTAGTAGAGTCAGAAGCCCAGGCCTCTGTTCCCCGACTTCTCCTCTTGAGTCCATTCTTAATGAGCATGAACCTAGAGCCTAGGCTGGTAGGACTTTGGAGTATTGAGAGCAGCTAATAGACTCACCTTTTGGGGATGAGTGCTTACGTTTTATGATCCCCCAAAAGTGAGAGAAGTACTTTTGAAGGAGAGCAATTTTAAATAGCCTGGAAAGTGTAGTAAGAGTAAGGAGACATGCTGACTCTGTGTTTCAGCGGCCGTGTCATTAATGGTCTTCTCTGTGTTTGCTTAGGCATCTCCTCTGAAGGCTTTCCCTGGGACAGCTTCAATGAACAGACAGCTAAAGACTTTGCCAGTAGGGATGGAGGTGCTTGGGTCCTGGGATACAGAGCAGGCCCATTTCTGCACCATGAAGAAAGAGAAAAGCGAAGCAGAAGCGAATTGTTCTTGGATCTCAATGTAAGTGGAAATCTTTGTGTTTATGCCATGGTTCTCTGTGGTCAGCAGAGGCTCATTTATATGCACTTAATGTAGCCATATGCATGAAGAGGCTGAAGTTGCATTTTTATATGTGGATCATTGAATAGAATAAATAGGTTGCAGAAAACCAAGGCATATCTTGGTGATCTGAAATTTGTGCACTAGAAGGTGACTGTGTTTGTAGTTTATTTTCAAAGTACTCTGTCTCATGAACTTTAATGCCTAAATCTCCTTGTGGGAGAACCCATTTTGCTGCTAGTCACTTAGTATCATTTTGGTAAAAACTTATGAATACCATTTGCTAGCTGACGGATATGCTTTGTATGCTCCTGTGAAGTTCAAGTATCCTATCTTCCTTGCACATCTATAAACTTTTCTCTTCAGCTGCTCAAATAACAAGCGAACAGGTTGGCAGGAAATCTGCCAAATACAGGCTGACCCATTTAAAAACATAGCCTTCTCCTTTCCAATTCATTCACTCACAGAGACACAGAAGCATTGACTCCCTAGTTACAAAGCACTGGGCCCCCTTAGCTGCTTCCACTTTTAGATGGCCTGATAGGGTTGACCAAACCATCCCAGTTCTCACTACCCTTCTTTCCCCACAGTTCCCTCTTTCATTTTTTTGCTATTATCTCAGTGCATATTGACAATGCCTTGTTCTCCAGTTTGTTACTTTCCAATCGGAAACGCTTGTGTGTGATGAGCGTGGGTTAGGTCTGCCATGTTTACATGGGCAGTAACTACTGAGCAGGAGAACCTCATACTCCTCATAACCGTGCAACCATAGTTATGTGCGTCATTTTAGAAAAGCATTGGACATTTAATTTCATGAAAAGAGGTTTGGAATGAAGAGAACAACCTGACAATTAATGTGGGGTTGTGTAAAGTTTCTTTGGACTTGGCTCGCTTCCTGGAAAGTCAAGGCAGAGGCGTGCTCCAATTAAGTGCAACAGTGACATCTCTTGGTGAGTTATTTTAAGTTGTGCAAGCTCACAACCACAGGCAGCCTGGAGAGGAACAGTGCTGAAAGGGGTTTTGAAAGGCTACTTAGTTTTCCTTCTGTGTTTTGTGTCATTTTGTTGAAAATAGTATAAACATGTAATTCTGGTTTTCTCCTCTTTGAATGAAATTGCTTCTTTATTTAATTTATTACATTTATAAGAATCATATTCCGTCCATATAGACTATTTGAAACATGTAGCTACTTTGGGAAAAAGGAGATAGCTTATTATTACAGAAGCAAGGACAATACTGTGAAACTTTTAACACGGCTTTTTTGTATTTTCCACTATATATGATTTATTTCCAGTGATGGGTTTTTTTAACATGTAAGGATGCCAGATTTTTGCAAACTTTTTCTTTTGTTTTTAATCACTCTACCATGGCTTATCTATGCTGTTGCAGAGTCTTAATAGGTGTGCCGTAAATGATTGGGTGATATTAATGGTATGCCTACCTAAGTTTTATCATTTCTTCATTATTAGGTGTTGAAGTTGTTTTCAATTGGAATACTATTATTATTTGGAAATAAATAGCATAATCATATATATCATTTTTCCTGTAAGTATCTCCTGATATTTAAGACTATTTCCTTATGATACATTCCTGGAAAGAAATTTTTTTCTACAAGTACTTTTGGGCTTTCGATACATATCATATTTTTTAAAATATATTTATCTAAATTTGTATATACATTATATAAATATGTAATACAAATATATTTCTTACTCATCAATTTTAACTCTTAAAAACAAGACTGGTTTCTTTAGATTATTATCTAGATCATCAGTTTTCACCCTTTGGACTCTGTGTTTCCTCCCTTTTAAGTCCTTATGTTCAAGCAGTGTGGTTTGATTCTTATAGGTTTAGTATTATTATTCTAAGTGAGATTTGTGCTTGAATGACTCTGCTGATTTAGGAAATTTGTGTACCCTGTTAGTGTCAAAGTAACAAACACCAGCTCACTTAGTCGTTTTTCTTGATCGGGAGGAGGGAAGTTTCAAGGGTTGGACACTGTGTTAAGTCAGCTTTCCATCACTGCGACAAAATATTTGACATAAATCAAGCTAACATAAGAAAAGTTTGTTTTGGTGTGTGATAAGATAGTACTTTATGGCAGTGAATGCAGCCAGGATGCTCAGCTCATGGCAGTTAGAAGGACAGAGAGACTTTGGGAAGGGTCATGCAGGCACAGGGACAAGTATCCCAGGTATGTCAAAGATACCTACTTCCTTAAAATATTTTTATTTATTATTTTTATTTTATGTGTATGCATGTATTACCTGCATGTAAAAAAAAAAAAAAGGTACCTACTTCCTCCAAGTAAGCCCTAACTGCTCAAGTTTCCGCCACTGCCCAATAATCCACTAAGCTATGAACCCTTCAGTAGATTAATCCATTGATGAATTTAAAACCCTCATTATCCAGTCTTCTCCACATCCCCTCTGAACACTTCTTCATTGAGACCAAGTCTTCAACTAGCCCATGATAGATATGTGGGGCACATTTCAGATCTAAGCCATCACAAACACACAGGTCAGGGAGGAATATAGGCTGGGCAACAATTTGTTCAACCTTGTGCCGTGGAGCAACACTGCTCTGCTTTTAGTTTTAAACATAATGTGAGGTGTCCTCATCCAATTGCGGCTTTCCTAAGTTTTTCAAACTATGGCTATGCTGATTCTCAACAGTATGTAGGGATGGCATTTAATAACTGGTGGGAATTGGGCATCCACAAATCAGAATGGACCCTGGCACTAGGCTGGGCTATAGAGAGTCCCCTCATTCAGCTGGACATCCATCTTTTAATTTCTACAAGATCCAGGATGCTAAAGAAACTCGGGACAGCATCAGATTACTACACTTCCTAAATGCCAGATGGTATCCTCTGAGGCATTGCTATGTCTGTTGCACAAATGAAAAGAGAGGCACTTGAAGGCCAGGGACAGGATTCAAATGAAGGTACAAGTCTGGACCCACGTGCTTAAATGTTAAAGCTTGTTATTCATCCATTGCTCTGGATGCTTCATTTACTTTCTAATTCAAAAATAAAAGATATTCATTGGGACTGGAGAGATGGTTCAGCAGTTAAGAGCACTAGCTGCTCTTTCAGAGGACCCTGGTTTAGTTCCTAGCACACTACATGACAACTCACAACCATCTGTAACTCCAATTCCAGGGGATCCAGTGCCCTTTTGCCCTCTGTAGGCATTACACAACATGGGTGCATTTACATAAATGCAAGCAAAACACTCTTATACATAAAATAAAAAATAATAAATGAAAGGAACCCCAGAGGTAGTCATTTAACTGGATAAGGATTAACTCCCATAATCAGTGAGAAGGGATAAAGAATAGGCTCAGAACTAGACAGACCTGCAACTGGAGCTATACCACAGAACTCATCCAGCAGAGAGTCTACAACTACTAACCTGGAACTGGAGATGACTCAGCCTTGAAATTCTTGCATTTCATGGGAAATGGTGCATCGTCTTTGCATTGCTGTCCTGAAAGCCCATCAAAGCCACCTTCAAGTTAAAGCCACATCATTAGGGTTTTCATGATAATGGGGCATGTGCTGTAGATGAAGTGAATTCAGATATATCCAAGTAGCTAACTTTAGAGAACTGTGCTTATTAATATTTGGGTATGTAAGAATGTAGGTGACAGAGAGTGAGAGGGTTCATATGTCTGTTGGTGGTATAATAAATAATCAAGAAATTGCCAGTGTGAACAGAACAAGCAGAATTACTTAATTATTAATGGATTTGGAAAATCATTTTTAAAAATTAGCCATCATTTAAAGTCATGATAATGCAATTGGAACAAAACAGTCTGGTTTAATTCCTATCCATGTGTATTTATTCAGCTGTCTCTTTTAAATTACTTCTGATTTTGAAATTGGTATTGTTACTCTCCAAGGGTCTTGGATCAGGTTCATTTTCTCTGCCAATTAAATAATTAAAAGGCAAGAACAATCTTACATGCAGCAAAAAGTAACCGATAACAGCCTTTATTAAAAGTAAAGAAACACACATGTACATACTCACAGAGGAAAGCTCTCCATGAGTAGTGAGAGGACCAAAAACTGAAAAATCCAAAACCCCCAGGAGGACATGGGTGTGTTTTCAGTGGTATGGAGCAGGTCCTCTTCCCCTGATTTTGGATTGGCCAACTTAAACAAGAGATAGCCTACAAGTCACAGGCCAAGTACTGAGTGAGATATGTATAGGTCCCTCAGACCTTGATCTTACCTTAACTGGTCTAGACAGGTCAGCTGGAAAAAGGACCCTGCTGGCTAGAGAGAGGGCCCCCAGGCCTTTGTCTCAGACCAAGAAGGAGGAATTGAGACATTTTTATTACTTATCAGTGGCTCTGCCTGCTTGTCAGGGATTTAGTCCCTCAGGATTGTGGGTTTTACCACATCTAAACAAATTCTCTTTTTTAACCAGTCACTGAGTTTAGCACCCAAGTCTTCCCTGTATTTCTGTATTTCTTTGATATTTACCTGCCTTCTGTGATAAACTGTAGGGTAATGATAAATCTACTAATACTCCAGATTTCTTTGTAAAGCAAAAATAAACAAATAAGCTAATAAATAAATGAACTTGACTCAGTCAGTAAACCACTACAATGGTTGATGGAAAAGTGAAATTCAGTTTTCATTGATCTTGATAGCAATCATTCTTATTTCCTCTTTGCCTGCTCTGACATGAAATATGATAGATGTTGATATAAAATTTGAACTCTTGGACTGGAGAGATATCTCAGTGGTTAAGAGCACTGGCTGCTCTTGTGGAGGACCTGGGTTCGATTCCCAGCACCCACATGGCAGCTAACAACCATTCATATCTCCTGTTCCAGGGGATCTGATGCCCTCTTCTGACCTCCATGGGCATTGTGACGTGGATGCACTTGTGCACATTCAGGCAATACACTCATACACATAAAACAAAAACATCAAAATATTGAAAAAT